GAGGTGAGCACAGATCTGATCTGTTCCTGAGGCTTTCACACAAATGCAATGAAAGCTGAGGAATAAAGCAGATCAATAGCAGTCATTTCCTCTCTCATTAAGGAGAGCTCTACTCTGCCAGGAGACACAGCCACTCACAAACCATGCTCAAGCTCTGGGCCATGAGGAACCACAGAGCTGCTGTGGCCATGGCTGTTCTACTGAAACTTCAACCAAATATTATCTCATATATACACTCACAAGAATTCCTCTGTGAGCTAATGCTTCAGCACACACCAACAGCCACTTACAGCAAATCATTTGATGTTCTGAAGTTGGATTTACTATTAGAACTTCTCCTTTAACACGTGATGCCCCCGAGGCAATGCAGAATTCACCAACTCCCAATCAAAATGCAATGTTTCAGTTAACCCAGAGATAATCCCATATCTGAGCAGCAAGCAGCCCATTGATTGGTGTGTCTCTTTTCAGACCTCCACAGGTGATAACAACACACACCCCACTAAAGGACATCACCACAATCAATTACTCTCATAAATGAGAAATAGCAGATGATGCCCTGTCCAACTACTGATAAAATGCCTCTAGAAGCAAGTCTTGATGAGTTACACAACAACTGTGCCAAAGCCCCCAGGCAGCCCTCCCTGTCAGATTCTGCTCAGGTCCCATGTGCCCAACAGCCCACACAATAACTGCACCCCCTGCTTGTGCCAAAACTGGGATGACCCAACAGACAGCTCTCCCAGGGTCACCACATCCACCAGCACAAAGGGATGAGTGGGTGAGAAGCACCTGGCAGCTGCAGTGCCACGGGTGAGCCTGGATCCTGCTGCAGGGTCTGCAGCCACACAGCCAGCCCCACGTGTCCCTCCAAGCTGGGACAGAGCTGGCAGCTCCTCAGAGAGCCAAAAGCACAATGTAATATGAGTGCTGTTTCAGAAAAACTGTTTGGAGAAGACCCCAAATGTATTTAATCTAACATTCAAACAAGGTGCTTGGCTCATGGTCCAACAGTCAGGTATCACTGCCTCTCCAAGAGGCAAGAAAGCAGCACGCAGCTGAGCAGCAATTTACTTTTCTGGCATTTATTCCTGCTGTCTTCTCTGGTACATGCAGAAATTCCTGCAGAAATTCAGCAGAATCGAGGACTTGCACTGGACAGGCCCAAAATACAGGGACAAGGAGATAAGACATGGGTAGGACAGGCACCAGGGAGAGGCAGCTGCTTCTGCCAAGCACTGTGCAGGAAGCCATGCACTGCTTAGAACACACAGATGTAAGGAGAAGGCTGTGGAAGCTACAGGTCACCTCCTGAATACAGCTACATTTTCTTCTTGGATTTTTATTTAATTAAAGGCAGATACAGTGATACAACTAAGAACAAACTTCTGTTTGTGACCCCATGACTACTGCAGTGATGCAGACAGCAGCAGCACGCTGTGGGTTGCTGCCCAAGGCTGCAGCCTGAGCAGGGGGTCCAGGCAGGCTCCCAAAGCAGAGAACAGCAGAGCAGGGGCCAAGCTGAAGCTGGGGAATGTTCCCATCCATCTCACCACAGGAATAAAGCAGGTACCAGCACACTGAAGGTACCACACCCCTGCAGTGCCCCAGCTAAGGCACATTCTCTATAAATCTAAATGCACACAAACAGATTGGGGCC